GACGACAGTAACTCTATAGAGAATGGTCCTGGAGCATTCTAAGCTGGTCTATGCTTCTCTCAAGAACTTGGTACCGGCTAGAGCCTTACAATCTCTCATCTATGACCACTATGAAAAGGGTACTAGAGTCTATCAGGATACCAACGGTGACCTTGTGACCATGCCTGCTAGTACTGATGGCACTGATCAGTCTAAAATCACCCTACGCCGAGCCAAACAGCTAGTTGCTGGTAAGTTCTCATCTAGCTCTAATGACCTCATTCGGGAAGATTGTCCACCACTTCCGCATAGTGAAGAACTCCCACTGTCTCCGAGGTCTAATGGTTCGGCCGGTTCTATCGATTGTCAGGATTCAACAGCAGTCGAAGCCTCTAGTTCGGTGCAGCCGCCAGAAGTTCTAGATAGTGGAGGGACCAGTTCAACACCTTCCAGAGCCGTAAGTTCTACTCCTGATGTTACATCATCCACACCAGGGGGGCGTATGAATCCTATTCTGAGATTCGGTGTCTCTGTTCGTAGTGATGTTCATCTACGACAAGGTTGGTCGGTGATCTCTACGGCTCCTACCTATCAAGGGCTTGCTTCTGTTGTTGAAGACGCTAACGACTCTGACACGGTTGTCATACGTCCTCTCCGTCTTCAACCTGGTGGTGTTGGTGAGTTGTCTACCATGGACGACGATGTCATTCACGAGGTTCAAAGGAACGAACTAATCTTCGTGACTTCCTCCTCAAGACCCCTTACACGATCATTACTTGAGAAGGTCACCAATCTGCTCACCCATATAGGGTCTAATTAATAGAGTCTATCCATGACATAGACCTTAACTCTAGTTTCAGTTAGAACCTTATCCTCAGCATCCCTTAGGGGATAATAGAGATCCTTCTGTAGGGTAGACATGATAGAGTTGACGCCTAGAACTATAGAGACTAAAAGAGACTTAGACACAGTGGATCTTGGATCACAGCATATTTATCCAATGAACGGAGTGGTGGACAAATAGCTAAAAATAGATCGTAATGGCGAGCGAAATGTACAAGCATACCATGGACGGGTATTGTGTCATAAAGAGCGCATGACTCGCGCTTAGATGAAATAGACAATGCTCAAATCACAATATGAATGTGATAGTACATATCTTAATTAGAAAATAGAGTCGTGAATACATGCTCTACCGCATACAAAACGGATTTATA